GCTCGTACGTGGGTTTAAACAAACTCTCTACAGCTTCATGGGCCTGGTCTGACGGATCCAACTCCAATTACACCAATTGGAGCAGCGGTAAGCTCTCAACCAAAAAAGTGCAACCTCGAAATAAAACAAAAGTGCCTTAGGTCAGCCTCCCAACAATTCCAACTGTGCGGTGCTCAACAGCGCAGATGGCACATGGCAAGGAGTATCATGCAACACTGCATATCCCTATGTTTGTGCATTTACGGCGTATACTCCAGCTCCAACATGCCCTCCATGCCCAACACCTGCTGGATGTCCGACTTTCCCACGTAAGCTGGAAGATCTTTACAATGTACAGAGCTAAATTTCTATATATATGTGCGATGATTAAGCTGTCATTGGCCACTGTGACTCAGGATGGGCATATTTCAATAAAACGGACTCATGCTATCGAGTAAATGTTTAATTAAAGGTTAGAATTTGTATGGAAACAAATTGAACTTTGTAACCTATTTAGTATTTCCTTTGGGCGACGTTCGATAATGCCGAAATGGTATGCCTATCGAATGGAGGACATCTTACTTCGATTCACAGCAATGAGGAAAATGTCTTTGTTGCAGGCAAGATATAAATTTCTCCGTGCAAATTACAAACTTACAACTTTAACAAATTTATTATAGTTCAAATTACTTGTGTACACACCATCACTTTGTTGGTAAAAGTTCTCTACATTTTTTCAAAAACCAGTTCACTTTCAGAAACTTGAATAAACTGTGACTTCAACTGCTTTTCTTCAATACTAAAAAAAAATTAAGCAAGTTAGACTTATATTCAAGTATCATTGAATGTACCATCTCCTCCTTTATGCATAACACATCAAATAGTCACATAAACTTCATTTCGATTACCCTACTAATTTGAGCATTGTGAGAAAGCGCTTGAATATAAACAATGTTTTCTTAAGATCTATCAAAAGCTGGTTCTGAATACAAAAAGGAGACCGATCTTACCTGGATCGGTTTGAAGCAGAAGGACTATCCCACTTCTTCGGAGTTTACTTGGACGGATGGTACACCTTTCGATTATAAGAATTGGGGACCCTCCCAACCAGATGATAAGAGGGGTAAAATGCACTGCACTCAGGTATGTGAACAACAAACAGTTTTAAGCATAAAAACTAGCTCCAAATTTCAGACGCATAGCGACTACCTCGGAAGAATTCCTGCAAAGGACAATAACTATCAACACTGGGATGTATGCGAATGCACATTGGTTATGCGAGCGTATGTCTGCAAAAAGGCGGCTTACCACTAGAATATTGTTAATA